TGTCATATTGCTTAGCTCTTTGAATCGGCTCTCTGCAAGAGCACTTTCTGCTGGTTGTAGTACTGTTTGCTTCTTTTGGGGAAGATTAGGTTGTCAAGCACTTGATATGTGTTCCGCAGGAACATAACATAACGCTGTGGAATGGAGTGGAGGAGAGACTGGAGACCTAACCTGACAGGTAATCTGAGGAAACAAACCCAATATTTTCTCCCTTGCACTGCATCCGAGTACCCGGCCCTCCCCACTGCCCACCACCGCTCAATATTTCTCATTTAGGGAGGCACTGACTCGGTCGGAATCAGAGCTGTGCTTCACTTGCGCCTCTGAGCAGGTCTGTGGGCTAAAGGGCTGCTGGTGGAAGGTCAGATATTAGTCACCCTGGGGACAGATCCACTCCATCACCGGCTAGCAGCACAACAGGCTAACAGCTCAGCCTACTGGCAGTGCAACTAGCGAACAGACGAAGGGCTTATGTGAAAGTAAATCCCATAAACAAGGAATTGATCTGCAACCGGAAAAAAGGGCACAGGCAAAAATCACACCACTGATCTGCCCTAAATATTCATAAAGAGAGGTTTTGTTGACGTCTGTAACTGTACTGTGAATGGATAAGGCTGCATAATGCCGAGAACAGATGCGCTCCAGATCCTCTGATGATGAAAGCACCGCTACCACACCCTCTCAAATCAGATTAAAGGAATCTCTAATATGAGTTGACTGACCTTTTCAGAAACAAAATATCTTGTATTAACCAGTTTGTAAATGACAAACGGAACACTGGCAAAAGCCCAGACAGTAGGCTTGGAACGGTTATAAGTGTTGCAAATGCAACCGTGTAAAGTGAAACTACTTTGAAACTACAAGCTACGAAGTTAGTTGAGCTACAGTAAAGCTACTCTTTTGAAAACTTACTGTAGCTATATTGAATGCTGCTAAGAAAGAGTAGCTAGCTACATTAATAATATTTATCCATTTTTATAACAGATCACAGGTTCATGTATTGCTCTTCAAATCAATGCATGGGATCAGTCTCTTCTCATGCTTCTTGCTAACAAACAGTAAAAAAAAAAATGTTATGCTAATATACATTTATGAATTTAGCAGACACTTTATCCAAAGCACCCTACATTGCCTTCTAAGGTACACTTTTACTTGCTTTTACTATCAGGTATTGCAAGCACCAATGTTCTACTGTTTGAGCTACAGGAAAACCTTACATACAAAGTTAAAATAACAAGGTACATTGTGTGCTGATGGATTTTTTATATTTATTTTTTTTTATTATTATTATTCGGTTATCTTACTGCTATGCAAGGAATTTGGAGTGATATGGTAATTTTATGTTAAGAAAACCACCATGTGAAACCACCATCCACAATAAAAGTACCTGTAGTCAAATAAAGAGGATCCAAGAAATCAGTAAGGATTGTATTTTTAAGGTATCATATTGTTTTTATTGGAATTGTACCACAATGATTGATCACACAAGCTGCGTCCCAATTCGCATACTATCCGTCCTAAATAGTATTCGAAAGTAGAATTAGTACGTCCCAAATCGTAGTATGTTGAAATGAGTGTTCCAAAGAGACCCGGATGGTCTACTATATCCGGTCAGAATCCGAAGTGCAGATCGATGCACACTCTAACGGCTGATATTGCCCACAACCCATTGCGTTGGACGAGGATTCGGTTAGAACTACAAACATGAGTAAAAACTGTTAAAAAACTACAGACATGGAAGACGCACAAGTCCCGCGGTTATGTAGAGAGTTTATAAAGGGGTTTAAGTCTATCTAACCTGACGAAAATGAATTCATTCAGTTTTGGCTCCATTATTATATTGCATCTGCAGAAGTTGTGATCCTTTGTAAACATACGTTAGACATTAACTTTCAAATGCATCATTATATTCAAATTGCAAACACATGAGGAGAGTCTCCACATTAAAGACCCACGACTGGCAGATGAACGTGCTACAACATTTCTCTCCGAAACGGTAAGAAACTAAATTAGAATGAATGGAGGATTTTAACTGATAAGATGATTGACAGGGCAGTTTACGGTGATAGGATGCACGCGACTGAGCTGAGCTGTCCGTTAAAGAAAACATCCAGTATACAGCAGTCTTGTGGGTGAAAATATTATTAAAACCTCCCAATTAAAACAGATCATTCCAGACACAGGGTCAGAATGAAAGTTGAAAATGAACTTCTGTCACTCCATTGCAATATGCAACTCTGTAAGTAGCATAACTACTTGTAGTGGGCTACAAACTCTGAAGAGTAAACCCTCTATATCAGGGGTGGGCAACAGTTTTAGTCTGAGGGCCACAGTTACTTTGGCAAAGTAACCCGAGGGCCACCCTTTGGACAATTGCAATTGAACATAGTTAAATGATTTAATTGATACAAATTAATTTAATGCAAGTATACAATTTTTGTATACGAATATGTCTCTACAGTTATTTACAGCTACTAACTGGATTTACTTTCAAGCATTAATTTCCTACACTACCTAGCATATTGTTCAACTGTCATTCATACCAGCTGTAGGTATTCAAGATAGAAAACTATTAACAAAACTGCAAATATATGTTTGTGCAAATTTATTAGCATACTGATACAGACTTCAGGCAATCTGGCTTGGAATTATCCAATTTTATTGAGGCTATACCACCAGAGGGAGAACTTCAGAATAAAAAACATTTTCAGCTGATTTCATTTGTGATTATTCATTTTTTGTAATTTCTTTCACATATTTTGTTAAAATCTTTTATAAAATAGAACACAATTTAAGTGCAGATTAACTTCAAACATATGTTTGCTTGAACGATATAAAGGACAACATTGAAATAGGCCTATGCATCCCACAAAATTTAAATTTGATTTAGCTGTATCATAACCATCTACGCGGGACATGCATAAGAAACATGGCAACATGAAACTGAAAAATGTTTTAAAAATAACACCAATCAAGGGTAACTTGATGGAACTAGCCAAACATAGGCTACTTTAGAAAAATGTATTTCATCCTATGCAACTGAGATGACCACGAAGAGCGTTTTGTCGGTGTTCTGTAACTCAATGTGAACAATTGAGGCGGTCGCCTTTCTTTACTAACTCATCGAAATCTGGGGTCGTGTTCGACGTAGAGATGCGCAACGCGGACGACAGGTGTGCATCGGTTAGTCGTGATCTGTAGCGTGACTTGTTAAAGTTCATTACAGAGAAAGTCTGCTCGCATACATACGTGGACCCGAATAAAATTAGCATCCTTTGCGCATGCCTCCGCATGTTAGGAAACTTGCCCTCGTTGAATGCACTATAAAACCTGTCCAATGATGACGAGGTGAATTTGTCCTTGAGAGAGGGATCGCACTGCATGTCAATCAACTGGTCGCTGTCAAAGGAAAAGGGGGCGGACACCAGCTCCATCTCTTTTTCTATTTTACCGAAATCGGAGAAACGCCTGTTGAACTCAGTGTGCAGATGTATTTGACAGTGAGTCGGGATGGCACATCCTTTATTGTGGCAAGAGTTGGGAAATGTGTAAAGCTCTTGTTTGTCATTTGCCGGGAAAACAGAGTCAGCTTTGCTCTGAATGCTCGCACATAGGAATACAGTTTGTGCACGAACACATCCTTCCCCTGCAGCTTCCTATTGAGGTCATTCAAATAGCCCATTAAATCCACAGAAAAGGCAAAGTCAAACATCCAGTCGGAATATTTAAGTTCTGGAAAGTCACCAGGATCGCAATTCAAAAAAAGACGGTGTTTTTTTTTGTTTTTTTTTAAGGCGGTGTGTGTTTCATCCAAATTGCGAGTGCATCGCGGGGGCCGGATTAAAGCACTATGCGGGCTGGATCCGGCCCCCGGGCCGTATGTTGCCCATGTATGCTCTATATAGTATGACTAAAGACCCACTAATGAACGAATGCCCACTTGCACACAAATATGCATTAAAAAGGCATTAGCTGCATTCACGAACAATCTTTATGTATATGTGGAAGTAAAATTAGGTGATATTTTGTAATGCAACACCATCCCTGAATACAAAGGCTCAATATTTAAACAGAGTGACACGCATGCCCTCCCTGCACCGGCTACTCCATCTGGGCCTGTTTTTTAAAAAGAGCACTAAACCCCTTGCATGTTAAGAGAACGGCATGTGATCAATTGCTGTAATGATGGATGAATAGCAGGGGCTCGTTCTTCAGTGTTTACAGCAGGTTTAACCCGAGGGCCTCCGTGAGTCTTGGACTAGTCCCAGAGCTCACAACAGCGCTCTTTTCCTTTAAGTGCACTGTACACACAAGGGGTGGGCCAAAATCCATCGCTCAAACCCAACCATACATTACCTTTCCACTTCCCCACAGACCCAACCTCCAATCCCTAACAGGACACAACAAAAACATACAAACGAGGAAGGGCTGCTAAATGCCTTTTGCTAAATGCTACAAATACTTTCGCTTTTGCTTACTCTTTCACAAAGGGAAAACCAGAGAGAATAGGGGGGGACATGGAATGTATGTGGTAAATTATTCCAGCACTTGATGGAAATGACTTTGCTCCAAGTGCTGATTGGAGCACAGAGAGATGGCAATAAAACACATTTGGAGTATTTTTTCATTTTCAGGGGAGAAATTGTCTCCCTGAGGGTACAACCACACACACACACAACCGGGACTATACAAATAGAGCTTTTCAATCTACTTTATTATTTTTTTTAGAGATACAAGAAGTGAAATTCCTGAACTGTTATTTGACGATGGCATATTGCTTTAACTTCCCGCAAATACTGCCTCTCTACTGGTTCTGTTATTAGGAGGGGGAAGAGTTTAAAAGGACCATCTTGCTACCTTCATGATCACTGTCTGGAATAGTCTGTTTCAAAATATACAGTGGGGCTTCAGTGACTTAGCATGAGGATGCTAACTCCCTGACTATATAGACGATTTGGGTGTTTGCAAACAGTGATGACGTGAATTGTGGGCAAAGCTTACCTGGTGGTAGAAAAAGTCATTTCTGCAATAGCAGCAGGGGCGTTCCCTCTGAGGTGGCAAGGGAGGCAGAGTCTGAAAAAAAAATTGAATGAGAAACAAATCCATATTACAAAAATAAAACAATGCAAATATGTTACAGCAGCAGGTAACGTTACAGCAGGAGTCTGTGTCTCTCTTGCCTCCTCTGAACCCATTGAGTTTTAACATAGTTGCAACTATAAATGTCTGAGTTCAGCTTCAAAGGGCGTCTTAGCTTATACTGTCTTTGATGACAGTATTCTGCAAAATTAAGACCTTTCTTTTTTTTCTTTTTTTTTTAATCCGTAGCTGACATTTAAAGGCAGAACAAGACATTTGTCTCTTATTCTGTGGATTTTCCACCATGTTACCACTGATTTTCTGCCAACACAATGTGCGCGCGACCCGCGCGTCTACCGTGACGTAACTATGACATTTGCTCCTAAATGGTCTATACAATACAGTGCATCACACTGTGCATGTGACCCTGAAAGGAAAAGTTCACTCTCTCCAAACCTCTTTCCAAATCCAACTTCTCATTTTCTCTTCCACTAAAGAAAGAAAGTCCTATACTTGTGTGCTCTTTAGTGGAACACAAAAGGAGAAGTTAGATAGAATATCCATCCTTCTCTTTTCTGCATAATGAAAGTAATTATGCTCTCAAAAATTATGTTATCACTTTGGAAAACTTGGTATATAGTGTCAAGAATATTTCCATATACATGAATCTTACTAATATTGACACTGTAGAACAGATGAATGCTAAAAAACAGGTTTTCATAAAAAAAATATATATATTCAGCAGCACAACCATTTTCACTGATAATATGTTTCTTGAGCACCAAGCATATTATAATGATTTCTGTAGAATCAGCTGACACTGAAGACTGGAGCAATAGCCGCGTTTCCACTGCCGGGCTAGGGCTGGGCCAGAGCTAACAGCGAGAAGGGCCGAGCTAGTGGCCTCGGGCCTCAAGCACCGGGCTTGCGTTTCCACTGCCGGGCCAGTAGCCCCACAGCGCTGCCCCAGACCCCACCCCTAACACGCCTTTCAGGATCAAACGTCATAAAACCCAACCCATTTCAGCGGGTATTATGAATTAATTTATTTTTTAAATTAGGAAGATAGCATGTATATTAACTCAACTGCCGTAGTGGCTGCAATAGTGTCCCGAGACCAGTACAGGCGATTCTCCATTTCAAGCAGCGTTTTTTTGCGCGATATAACAAGTAGGGCTGCGGGCGTTTTCAAGTTATTCATTAATCGTTAACCGAGGCCCATCGTTAATACTCGGTGCATAGTGTGCGCGCCGCAACCTCGAGATACAGAGTAAATTTTTAACACATTTAATAACTGATTGGACCCCATTTGAAACGAAATTAATTTATAGAAATAAAACGCAGCAAGTACGGAGCAGTTAAAGCCCATATTTCCATCACCCTTCAAACTGAAATTGCCAATTGAAAATAAGCAAAACGTCCATTTCACAAAAACTCCGTGTCTGCAAATAATAATAATAATAATAACCATCATCATCATTATTGTAACATTTTATTAGGCTGCATATGTAGAAGACGTCTTTATCCAAAAAAGGAACAGAGCACAAATAAACACAATATTTTTGACAAATATCAGCGCATATCCAGTGTGTGTGGAGCACGCACTGATGGCTGCGAGACGCCCATGTGAACAGTTTCATTGCATTTCTTTCAGTGGAAACAACTTAAAATACTCTTTAATTTCTGGTCATACAGAAAATAATAATACATTATTCGCAAATACATTTATTTATAACAAGAAAACGTTGTGCTTTAACAATTAATCAAGGCGCGCTTCATGATCTCCGTGAACTGAAGCGCGAGACCTGAAACAGCCACCGCATTCGAATTTGTTCGTTTTAAATTGGACATTTAAAGCTTTAGTCTACAGGGGTTATATCCTTTGTAGATTAAAGCTTTAAATGTCCAATTTAAAACGAACAAATTCGAATCGAAAGCCAATATCTTCTATGTTTATGTAGCTTAATTTCTCTCTAAATGTGCATCCGGAGATGGAGATATGTTTTTAGCCGAAAATCATTTAGAAAACAATAGTTTATTAATAAACAATTAATGCCTCGTTATTTTATATTATTTTATTATCAGACACATTTATTATAGCCTATAAATCACCCATAAATCCCCTTTCTGTAGGCTGTGGTTACGGCTCTTCTCATTCTGCGGGGAAAATATCATTTCCAGGTTCTAATTTGGCCTCAGAAAACCAGTAAAATATATATATTTTTTCATATTAATTTGTCAAATATTTTAAATGTTTAAGGGGCAAAAAAATCAAACAAATATCTGAAAATTCGTCGATATGTAGCTATATATAGCCTTTGTTGCGCAGCATTTGGCATAGGCCTACAGTTCAAATTAAAATGTTATGCAATTTTAAACGGTTAATCGGTTAAACATGGACACCCCTATGTGCATCTTGCTTCAGATCATAACGTTCCTTAACACCGATAAACTCCGCCTTTTACCTTGAACACGCCTCTAGCCCGAGCTGGCCCCCTCTGGCCCAAGGTATTCGACGGGCCAGAAATCCTGGCCGTTGGCCCTGAGGAAGCCCCGATCAAGCCCCGGAAGTGACAGTGGAAACGCGACTGGCCCTGGCACGCACTAGCACGGCCCGGCCCTGGCCCGGCAGTGGAAACGCGGCTATTGATGCTGAAAAATCTGATTTACGACAAATTACACTTTAAAATATATTAAAATAGAAAACAGAGTAAAACGTTTTTCATAAAAAAACTATAAACATAAATCTGAACACCAAACTTATATAACCATCAAAATAAATGTGAGAAGAAATTGATCGTGAGAGTTGAGACATTGGATATTATGTGTCAAATCATTCAGAGAAAACAATAATATTGTCATTGAAACCAAAATGAGTGTTCTGTGAGGTCATCACCATAGCAAGGATTATCAACTTAGTAAATTTACATCTACACACAGCGCTGGTCTGAATGCTCTCCTATAGCTTTCGCTACTTACAATGCCTTCTTACAAATCTAGCTTGGCAGTTTTACTGCAATTCACACTCACACAGCGATTGCGATTCACAGCTCAGTGAGGCATATCCTTCAGTGACAGAGATTCACACCTTAACTAAAGCAACTCCCACAGCAATTCACAACTTGCATGATGTCATGATGTGTGATGCGCCTCTAGGATATCTTAAACAATGCGAAATCCATCCAGTTAAAACTAATTACCTCTACACGTCATTCAACCGCAAGTCATTTGGAGCTACAATCAGCTACAAATAATCAGATACTGTTATTAATAATAGGCTACTGCTGTATAATAATAAATACCACTATTGAAGGAAATTAAATCAACTAGCATCATGTTTTTTTTTTTTTTAAATAACAAGTTTTTTAACTAAAGTATGACTCTTATACAAAGAATTTTCCATATTTCCATATTGCATATTCCAGAAAATCTATATTTCCATTAGGAAAGAATAAAGAATTTAAAGAATCTTGCCACGGGCAAGCCCCAAACACACCATTGGTTGATCCAAATAATTTAACTTTTCAGGGAATAAACCTAAAATACATACTAACCTGGGACAAAAGAAACCATTTTTAGCAATAAATAAATAAAAGACTTGAGTTTTAAAGAGCACAGATTACAACTGAAGAAATGTCAGCATTGATGCGATTTTAACGAGGACAGGTACATCCCGCAAGTGAGACTAAACATTATATGTTACATTATTTCCTCATCATGTCTATTTATACAAAATTGGAGTGTCTTGAGGGGTCAAAAATATTTATTTATATGAGAAATATAGATTTTTATACAAATGCAAAACGTGGGCTGCGTTCGAAACCGTATACTCAATGAGTAGGTACTTAATTTCAATAAGTACTAAACGAGCGCCAAAAGATTCATCTTCTGAATATGTTATTAATTTCTTTATTTTATACCTTAAAAGTTTCTCCTTTTAGTTTTTCTCTTCTTCTTGATGAATTTATCTCTTGTTTAATCCCTCAGACTTAATAAATAAATAAATAATGTATTATGAAGAACTATTTAAAGATATTTAGCCTTGTTATTGTTATTTTTCCTGTGTATAAATATCATAATATGATGTAACCAAACCAATAATCTTTATGTTTTCTGTTTTGTCATTATGATTGTTCATAGTTAGATACAACTATGGTATCTTTCCGTGATCGTGCATGTAATAAGTTTATAAGTTTAAATTATATGAGCAACAGGTGCACTAACACTTCATAATATCAGTAACTCGACAGCACTAGAACAGTTTTGTTGATTTTATACTCGAAAAATGCAAGTGTCACTCCTTAAAAATGAATATTACCTCAGAATGAATTGCATTGTTAGCCCACCCCAAAACTATGCTAACCAATACTTAATTATATTACTTTTTTTATACACTAAAATCATATAATTTAATAAAACATAGTTATTCATGAATATATTTATATTGATAAATGCAGTGAAACAACTCAATTGTCAGTCAAGCAATGCATTAATGCATACAATTAATTAGATAATTATATTTACTGACAACTATGAGAAACATGAATAAATGAGTTACCACAAAAGCTCTGCAGCAAATACACAGAAATCAAGAATCAGAAAAGTGCTGTAATTTCTCAGTTGGAAATTACAATAATTCAAATAAACTACAACTTAAGATTTAATAGATTTTGTTATCCATTTCTGTGGTATACTCACTCAAAACCTTTGATGACAGCATTCAGCCATCATAAGCCTCTCCCCAGTGGATAAACACACGCATGTTCTTCTGTCCCTGTAACATACAGACAGGATTCACGTTACTCTGCATGTGATTTATGAGCTCAACACTGCATTTACATGCTGAGGTTATGGTAGATGCGATAACTCACTTTTTCTCCAACTTAAATGTTCCTCAATTTATCAACAATAATAAGGGACAAATAAAATATAACATGTTTTTACTTTACAGATTTAGGTTATTTAGGCTACAGCACATTTGTCTAATGTAAACAGTGTTGACAACATTAAATTATTATATAATAGCACACGTACATCACTCAGATGTCTTTTTCATGTTGTGATGTGCTCATCTGCAATACTATACAATATTTTCCTTTCAGATGTAAATACGCATTTAAATAAGCGTGTTAGATGTAACGTTAAGTTAGCCTATTTGTAACCACTTTAGAAACGTAACGTTGGGTGTGCTGGAGCTGCCCTGTTAGCAAGCTATGAATAATAAAACATGTTTTACAGCAAAATCACAACTATACAACACCTTCAACAGTTAAAATGTTAACTCTTTAGTCAAACACATATGATTTGAACACAAGGAACCGTGTTTACTCACATTTGAAAACTGCCGCGATGTTTGGTTATGACGCATGCTCTGCGTGCATGGCCTCCTAGGATAGAAGAGTATCCATTGGACGAGCACTTGAAAATCTGGGCAGAAGCAGCCATCCGGGAACTCCTCGCCTACTCTTTGAATACTGACGTTTCGAATATACTTCTTTTTTCACTTACTGTTTTCTATACAGTTTACTACTATATAGTAGTAAAGTAGGCATATTCTTTCTGACGCAGTATTATAGGGGAGAGTGGGCACAACATAACACTTTTTGACTTTGTTAATTTGTGTAAATCTACTTAGGGTTTAGAGAATTTTTCCCCACATTAATTTACCACATGTCTAGTACAATTATGTGGTTTTCTTTTATTAATACAGTGTATACTTTTTTTCTTGATTTACCCTAAAAGAATGGAAGTGAAATGTGACAACATGCCCCATACATTGTAACATGTGAGGGGCACGTTGTAACATCACCATATAACAGCTTTAAATGCTATCTGATCTAATAAAAAAATATACACGTAAACCCAAAATATTTTCTTAATAAAATACAATTATTAGCATTTTCATATCAAATAACAGAATTTTTTAATAATTAAAACTATACTATTTTTTGATTTTGACAACAAACACACCGAAAAACAAAGCTATACAGCATAGCCTAGTTCAAAACAAAAAAATAATTAATAATTTCTGAACATTGACTCTCATTGTCTTTATTAACATGTTTCTCTTGTTTTCTCAATAGAATTAATAAAAGTATAGAATATAATAGCATATTTCTAATAGGGGCACATTGTAACGCAGTGTGACAACATGCCCCAACTGCACAACTGGGGTTTAAACCATGCTAGTGTCTGCTGCTAGTTAGCGAAGCATTAAAAAAAACTATATCAACTGTTTAAAAAACAGATTGGAGATTAAAATAATATCAGATTTGTCTAATTTTAAATAAGCACAAAAAATAGAGGTGAAAAATTAACTTAAGTAAGAAATGTAAATAAGTAAATAAGTAAATTTAAGTAAATAAATGTTCATGATACCTTACAAAGATTTCGGAATTTTGGCGCAATTTTTTCTCGGTATAGTGTTGAAATGGAAACTAGTACATACACCAAGTTTCGTCATGCTAGCATGTGTGTAAGTATTTCAAACAAGTCTCTAACAACTAGCCCCGCGCTCCCCTACGTCCAAATCTCACGAGAATTATTGTGTCACCCAGGTAATTCTTGCCTACTCTTTTATGGTCCGTATATACTTTTCGCTCGCCTACTCTTTTTACCATACTATATAGTAGAAAAGTAGCCTATTCAGTTTCGAACGCAGCTGTGGTGTCAGGCGTAAGCTATATATTTACATAAAAATGGGGATTTGTATGGATATAGCACTGTTCAAGTGCTCAGACATCAAACTCAGATCCAGTTTCACAATTTTGTCAATTGTTTTCACAATCTCTAAATTAAAAAAAATAAAAAAGCAAATTTTTTTTGTTAAATTAACTTAATGTATGAATACAGAATGCATGCATATTTACTATTAGTAAGTGAACATAACACTGATAGAAAATACAAGCTTAGTATATAATTTAGAACATGTAAAAATATCCACATTAAAAAGCAATATACCTTGCTGTATACCTTTATACTCTGATATAACTTATTATTTCAAACATTAACAATTACATTTTATCCAAAGTGACTTACCAATTAAGATAACGATACAAGCAACAAGTCTAGCACAATACACATAGGACGTTTTTTTTTTTTTTTTTTTTTTTTAACAAAGGTTTTGTATTATTGGGTCAAGTGTTTATGAAAAAGATGGATCTTTAGCAGTTTCTTGAAAATGTGTTGAGTTGCACAGGTCATTCCAACAGCAGGAAACAGTCCAGGTAAAGGTCAGTAAAAGTGGTTTTGTGTCTCTTTGGACACAAATGGCACAATTATGGCACCACAAGGCGCCATTCACTTGCAGAACACAAGTGAGTTTAGGTATAGGGCTACCTTTAAAGACAACTCTTGCTGCAGCATCTGGATCAGTTGCAGAGGTTTGACTGATGCTGGAAACCTGTCAAGAGAGCATTACAATAGTACAGTCTAGAACAAGAGCTTAGACCAGGAGTTGTTTAGCTCCGATAGGAAGGGCCTGATCCTCCTAATGATGTATAAAGCAAATCAGTAGGATCACAGCAAGTATGGTTTGGCTAAAACCATAAGCAATTCTGTCTTGGCAAGGTTGAGTTGAAGTTGAAGGTCATTCATCCAGCAATCATTTTCCATCAGCTAGCAACTGTCAGATCATCTGGCTGGAATGAAAGGTAGAGATGTTTCAATAAGATAGTAGTGATAGAAAAAACTGGAAAAAATGTATGTTTCTAAATGATAGAGCCTAGTTACAAAAAAAAAAAAATACAAAAAAAAAAAACAATAGATGGATGGAATAATACAATCATGGTCTTACTGTAGCAAAACCAGACCTTGTGCACACTTTAAGTGCACAAAAGTTAATTCTTCCCTTTCCTTTTTTGCCATGATCATCTGCTTTCCACGTGACCTGAAATCACACAAAATAAAGCTATTTTAAAACTCAGTATTAAATGTACACATCAGAATATGTTCCATTGGGACAATGCAAAACCTCTATGATCTGACTATAAAAACTGACTATGATCTGGAAGATGAGCAGGAATGGTTAAAGGTTAGTTCACCCAAAAATGAAAATTATGTCCATAATGGCTCACCCACATGTCGTCCCAAGCCTGTAAGTCCTCCGTTCATCTTCGGTACACAGTTTAAGATATTTTAGATTTAGGGCCAATCCCAATTCTACCCCTTACCCCTTCACTTTCCCCTTCCCCTCCGTTGTGCGCGTCCACGTGAAGGGGTAGGGCTGTCCCAATTCTCTTTTGGTTGGAGGGGGAGGGCTAGGGGCAAGGGCCAGATAGCCCTTCAAACGAAGATTTTTCGGGAGCACACTTCAAACGAAGGGGTATGAGAAGTGTCACTGCTAACCCAGGCTACAGACGCAAAATGGCTGCCCAAGCGAAAAAGGAGACCCATAAATGTAAGTATTTGTGGCTTTAATAAGTATTGTAATGACTTTATGTTACATTCAATATTGTGTTCATATTTACGGTCAGTTTCTTCACAGAAACGTTTGTTAAAAAAAAAAAAAAAAAAGCTAAAATTACTGTAGTTTGCTAAGATATCGTCGTCTCCGTTGTTTCCTGCGAACTTCACAAGATAAATGCAAGAAAATAGCTGTAACCCACGCGACTGAGATAACTGCAGCTGTCGACGGCATCTTGGAAGTTGTGATAAACATCGGCGCATCTCCTGTGACGTAGGCGCTAGCGACGACTTATAATGACGTTTAACGGAGGCGTAGTGGTGTCCCATTTCTTAGGGGAATATTTTCACCCCTACGCATTGGCACTCTGTTTCAAGGGTCAAGGGGAAGGCGAAGGGGTAGGGCTAGGGGAAAGGGAAGGGGTAAGGGGTAGAATTGGGATTGGCCCTTAGTCCGAGATAGGCTTGCAACGGTAGTCAGTGTTACCAGTGTTACACGGTGTTCAGTCGCAACACGGGTTTCATCACTTGCCCATAGCTGTCAACCCTCCTGTTTTTTTTTCCGGGTTTCTCGCGTATTTTAGCTCTTTTCCCGCTGTCTTCCTGTTTTAGTATTTTTACGCTCTGACTGTGTGAGACGTACAAGCTCAGACAGATTCGGCTTGAAGTCGCTCAGTGGTTCATGCAGGTTGTCTACAAACAGGAAGGTTGGTGGTTCAATCCCCGGTTCCACCTGACAAAGTATCAAGGTGTCCATGAGCAAAACACCTAACCCCAGCTGCTCCCGATGAGCTGGATGGTGCCTTGTATGGCTGACACTGCCATCTGTGTATGAATGGGTGACTGTGAGGCAAAATGTAAAGTGCTCTTGGTGGCCATTGGGTCTGTGAAAGCACTATATACATTTAACAATCTATTTACCATTTAAAATCATTGGACTGAAGCTGTTATTGATATGACACCATTGTTTTCATTATTTGGTATATTTATCTATTTATTTAAAGAATATGAATATAAATTATAGTTATGCACAGCATTTTGGGCACCATATCAGTAATCAGACAAATTCTGCTTCGGCAGTTTTAATTCTTGAAAAAGGTACAACAAGCTTTTACAAATGTTCAGCCAATAAATGTGCCATAAACTCACAGACCACACACACACACACACACACAAACTCTGTTATACAACACTCATTTAAATCCTCCGGATATCACTCTCTGAGCTTGAACACCTTGGTGGTCCCGGGCTCACTCTTATCTATGAAACTAAATTTTTCACCACCTCCTTAACATGCTGTGAAAACCACTGCAGAGGAAGCCTGTCAAAATTAAACAAAACCAGTCAAAGTTCAGAGATTATTTTTGCTACAGCCGAACTATACACACTCCCTGCTGAAACACCAAACCATAACATTTCACCTTTGTTCATTTTCCATATATACAGCAGAGCCCTTAAATTGGCTCTTGCCTGTTCTGGTCCTTTCTACTTCACTTGTATTCATTGTTGTTTGTGAATTTTTCCTCGGAAGCTGTACTATGTTTTCTCATTGCATTACGGCTTTGATGGATTTGCAAGGAAACGAAGCTTTGACGTCTTTACCCCTCTGCTCGACAGAGTCTGACGCCAGTTTGTCTTGTGTCTTGCGTCTGGCTTTCAAAGATCACTTTGGGAGAATCATGATTTTTATGAAAAATGACCATGGTAGGATATTCAAAAAGTGGTAAATGTTTCTATAGCGGAAGGATGTCTTGTATGATCTCGCTGAAATGTATCCAAGAGTTTTGCACTTTTGTTACTCAAACCAATGTAAATGATGATGACTCAGAGCTGTAGTCCAAGCTAATTTGTTTTGACCAAATCCCTGCGTGAGTTTTGTGTCTGAAGTGAGTAATGCTGTCTGCTGTTGATACCCTCTGTACATTGTTTGCTAAATGTACGCAGCTGTTTAGATCATTCTTGTTATTACCGACTTGAAACCTTTGTTCAAACGTGGTCAACGTGATTCAGTCTGAAATATTGTCTCTGGGAGAGCAGCACTGCATGTGCTTGGAAACTATTCAATCAGGTATTATTTCTCAGCCTGTAATGAGGCTACGGAAATATGGTAATGAAACAGACCCCTACATATTCAAGTTATGGATTAGCTGGGAGTATAAATGAATACATTAAGAGGTAATTTACTTTAAAGGCCATATCATGCATAAACATGTAGATGCTGATCAGAGGCTGTGTTCAAGCTGACACACACACATAGTACATATACAGAGTATATGGGTAAACACAGTTGGCGTTTGCCCTTTTGATGTAGTTTATTATTTATATTTATGGCTCAGCATTCCTGCTGTAATGAAAGGGGGTTTTGACTGGGGGTTGGCCAATTATTGATTATTCTTAAACTAATTTTTGTGAGAAAATGAAAATGCATTAAACAAAAAGACAGTATTTCATTAACTTCAAACACAGCTTAAGAAGCTTTCATAAATGTTCCTCCTTAATTAACATGCACCTTTTAATTATGACTGGAAATGAATTGGAATTCAGATTTCTTAACATTTCAGATTACTTAAAGCTGCAAAAATTGTTATGTACATTGCATGCAAACAAACATAACAAGCACAACTATTTAAATAGATAAAATATATGGTTAGGACTATATGTAGTTTTTAATTGCATTTTGTTTTAAAAAATCATTTACAGTGTTTCACTGTAAATGGCAAGGTACCTTTCAGTTAACACAATATAGCCTTTTTTTAAATATAGCATTTTTACAGTATTATATATACAGTATATTAGGGGTGGGCCGTTATCGGCGTTAACGTGCTGCGTTAACGTGAGACTCTTGTCGGGCGATAAAAAAAAATATCGCCGTTAATCTATTCCCACAGTTGAGTTGGGAGCTGACTATGCAAGCTATGATGACTTTCACTTTGATATTTTAGCGCAGATGTAGTCTGCAGATGTAGTTGAACTGTAAGGGTAATTTAAAACCAATATATTAAAACGTCTGTTTATCCAGACATTAGGAAAATATCAGGGATTCATTTTATATTTAATATGAGGGAAATACACATCCGTAAAAGGGGTCGCACACCGAACGAGAAGCGCAGCGCCGCGCCACGTCTAGGGGGCTGTTTACACCTGGCCACTTCATGCATTTTCTCAGATCGGATAGCTATCTGATTTATCAAAACGATTCAATTTACACCTGGTCACATACATGTGTTTTTGCAAAAAGGATATAAATCCGATCTTTAATTCCCCCACGCTATATGTGGATTTATGAAATGCACGTCACCGAAAGCAACGATAGCTTATGAGCTGCATTTTGATCATCGGCTAATTTCAAAATCAGCAAAGACAGCAATAAGAGAGAGCGGCAACCTGGTAAGATCATTTAGTTTCTTTACTTTTAATGAAGATGGTAGTGTTAAGTGTCTGCGACTTACTTTTTGCGATAGATTGTGTCATGCTGGCTTGATAGGCGCTCAGCTTCTCATCGGAGGTAATGCGTGTCCATAGCGCCGTCATATCTGACTAAAATAACATGACATATGGCCTATAACACGCTCTCACACGTTTTTTTTTTTATTATTATTTTTAAGCATTTTTGGGATTAGTAACATTTACATATGTGGTTTCAACAACCAGATGCATTTACACATGTCCAGTTTCGTCTGGAATGTGGCCCAGACTACCTTCTGATGTGGTTTGAGTGATCGGAGTTTCGGAGGGCATTTACACCTGGTCTTTTCAAGATCGGATACAGAAAACGTATGAAGTGATTTCAGAGCATCCGTTAACTGAATTAATTGAGAATCTCACCTGAAAATCCAATAACATCAGCAATTGTCATTCAAGCAGCTGATTTCTGTATTAGGCTATCCATTATATGCATTCATCAGATATTTTATCCCTCTCTATTTATTTGTATTGTAAGAAAAAGAGCTTCCCGGACACTATAAAATAATTCATTTCGTGTTACATAGAAGAAAAGTAGATCAAATGGGTTTAGAATTACACAAGAAAACCTATATGAACAGTCCAGTGTTATATATGAACAATAATATGAATTATAGTGTAAAATCGTGTAATATAGCCTAATATGAACATTCCTGTGTTAAATCTTGTATAAAACATATTTAGGCCTAATTACACTCTAAAAAATGCTGGGTTGTTTTAACCCAATTTTGGGTCAAATATGGACAAACCCGAAATGTTGGGTTAAAAATGTAATGTAAAAATTTAACCCAACGGCTGGGTTAGTCCATATTTGACCCAAAGTTGGGTTAAAACAACCCAGCATTTTAACTACCTGCGAGGTTATTTATTTAGCACACGCCTTTGGTAGAATTCAAATGAGCCAACAATCTAGATTAATTTTGAAATTAATCTAGATTAATCTAGATTGAAAAAATTAATCTATGCCCACCTCTATATATATATATATATATATTATATATATTACAGTGTGGAATGAAATAAATGCAATGTCATTAACAAATGTACACAGTATTTTTTTATAATTAGCATACTATATAACTGGTCAAGAGTGTATAATCTACAATAGCCTATTAACATAAAATAAATATAAAATAAAAATTGGGGACACATTTACCTGAATTCATCCTATTAATACTGAACAAACAAAAGCAGATTTCTATTACTCATTCATTTTCATAATATACTATGGTAACACTTTACAATAAGGTTT